CCAACCACTGCTGCTCCAACCACAGCTGCACCAACAACTTCTGCACTCACAACTGCAGCACCAGCAACAGGAGCACCAACCACTGTTTCAACTACTGCTGCACCAACAACAGCAACACCAACCACAGCTGCTCCAACCACTGCTGCTCCAACCACTGCTGCACCAACCACTGCTGCTTCAACCACTGCGGCACCAACCGCTGCTGCTCTTTCCACTGCTGCACCAACAACAGCTGCATCAACCATGGCTGCTCCAACCACAGCTGCACTTGCCACAGCTGCACCAACAACACCTTCACCAACCACTACTGCTCCAACCACTGCTGCTCCAACAACTGCTGCACCAACCACTGCTGCACCTACCACTGCTGCTCCAACCACTGCTGGAGCAACAACAGCTGCACCAACAACAGCTGCCCCCACAACTGCTGCACCAACAACAGCAGCACCACCCACTGCTGCTCCAACCACTGCTGCACCAACCACTGTGGCACCAGCCACTGCTCCAACTTCTGCTTCACCAACAACAGCTGCACCAAACACTGCTGCTCCAACAACAGCTGCACCAACCACTGTGGCAACAACCACTGCTACATCAACCACAGCTGCTCCAACCACTGCTGTATCTACAACAGCTGCACCAACCACTGCTCCCCCAACCACTGCTGCTCCAACCACTGCTGTACCAACAACTGCTGCCCCAACAACAGGTGCACCCACATCTGCTGCACCCAGCACTGCTGCACCAACAACTTCTGCACCGACCACTGCTGCTCCAACCACTGTGGCACCAACCACTGCTGCGCCAACAACAGCAGCATCAACCACTGCTGCACCAACAACAGCTGCACCAACCACTCCTGCACCAACCACTTCTGCTCCAACCACTGCTGCATCCATAACAGCAGCACCAACCACCACTGCACCAACAACTGCTGCTCCAACCACTGCTGCACCCACAACTGCTGCACCAACCACTGCTGCTCCAACGACAGCTGCACCCACAACTCCTGCACCAACAACTTCTGCACCAACCACTGCTACGCCAACAACGCCTGCACCGACAACAGCCGCACAAACAACAGCTTCACCAACATCTGTTGCACCTACAACTACTGCTTCAACAACTACTGCTTCAACAACCACTGCTGCAACAACCACTGCTTCAATAACAGTTTCCTCGACTACAATTTCCAGTGATGCATGTTGTATCAAACTGGGTGTGATCCATCTGCTTCTTGGACTTCTCATCTTCACCATCTGTTAGAATACAGAGAAAGCTGAGACTAAGCACTTGTGTGGCAACCAATAGATTCTGAAAGGAACTTTTGAAACTTGACCCTGAGTTTATTTCTCACTGCCTTCCCTAGTTAGCAGGTAAACGCTGTGACATTCATGTTTAACAATCTGGATGATGTTGAGGTGGGAAAATTAACTGATAATGATAGCGACATGTACTGGCTTAATCAATGTTTGACAGAATGGTTCATACTTTCACATCAGCTATTTAATGTGTACCAATGTGATCGGATACCTTTATCTCTATTTATTTTTATTTATGTGTCTAAATTTATTTATTCATGTGTGTTCTTTTGTCGTTGTTTTAACATTAAATTGTTTCCTTTATGCCTTGATGAATAGGCTAAAGTAATTAAATTAAACATAAGGTGTGTAAATCCACATTAAACCTTTGTTCTGCTGGTCTTATTCAAAAAAGAGGAATGTATAATTATCAGTAATTATTGATAATTATTGAGATCAAACTTTCTATCGTGATACCTTTTTCAGTTATATTGCCATGTCAGTTAAATACAGTGTCTGATTTTTTGAAGGCTTTATTCATTTGTGAACATGCAAAAATATGTAGAGGTTTTTGACTTGGACACAGCTTAATCTGGGATCCATTTCACAAAGCAGGTGTAGTGACAACTCTGAGTCTGTTAACCCTGAAATGAAGGAAACTGAGTTTTCTGTTCCACAAAGGGAGGTAACTCTAACTAGAGACAGACGGCTAACTCTAGCCTGTTTCACAGAGAGAGCTAACTTAAGACCTCGGTCAGTTTCCGCAGTAACAGACTCTATGAACCTAACCTGGTCAGGACCAAGTTTTTCTCAATGAACCTCGAGTTTCTCTCTGTCTCTGCCCTCTTTCAGACACAAACGCCATTTGATTTCCTCATTCATTCATTCATTCATTCATTCAGTCAGTCAGTCAGTCAGTCAGTCAGTCAGTCAGTCAGTCAGTCAGCAGGCCAGTTTTGGCGTAGCCTCGTTCTGCTGTCTGTCAGAAATCATTAAAGCAGTCAGAGTCAGTAGGCTGTATCAGAAGTCCATTAGACACAGTAGGTGGAGGCTTTTTCCACTAACATGTCCTTCTGATCATGATCCCGTGGATGAAGGTGCAACATTACTGCGCACAGAATTAAATGTTGGTCTGGAGATGGTTATTAGACCACCATAGATGTTCTAGCATTTCCAGAGAGTTCTCTTTTTGAGCGTCACTGTTTCACGTCACAGTCCATCATCTACATACAACCTGATCCGTTCTTACATGTGCAGCATCACCAACCGTAGTCATGCTCTCACATCCCAGCAGACACTGTGTGTTGTGCTGTGTTTCTTTGCAAATGGAAGTTTTTTTTACAATGTGGTTGATGCAGAGCACCTGAGTAAGGCCCCTGTTTGCAGGGCGGTCAGAGGAGTGGCCTCGCCCGGAACCGGCTTTTACCATCTCTGTGGTTTTCCCTGAACATTCATTCAAAGACTGTGTTGATATTGTACCAAAGAGAAGTATGACATAATCATAAATAAAAAGGAATAAAAAAGGACCTGCAGTATCTCTCTGACACACTCTGAAGCAGCCTGTTACGTAGGGGGCTGTCCAGTGTTGTTAAGGTCTCCTGCAGAGGGTGGGATGTGATAGCTTAGCTATCATCCTCCTGTCTCCCACCACAAATCTTTTTGTTTTGATAAGTCTCTTTACCAAAAGTCGGGAACTTTAGTTCACTGTTAGACTCAGTTGGCTTCTCACAGAATGTAAATAAACCAACTTATAGTTTTAACCCTTGATCTTGTTTTGACATATGGCGTAGAAATTGAACATCTTACTGTTTTTAAACAAAACTCTATCCTGTCTGATCATTTGTAATAGCATTTCAATTTACAATAATGGACTATGGAACACCTACCAAAGAGTTCCATTACAGTAGATGTCTATCCAATAATGCAGTTATTACATTTCAGGAAATGGCTCCATTATTATTTACTTTACTGCCATATGCCAACAGAACAGAGAGCAGCTCCTCTAATCTTAGTCCCACACAGGTGGATCATCTTGTTGATAGAACTGCAGCTGTACTGTGTACTTCAGTTGATGCTGTTGCCCCATTGAAAAAGAAGGCAATAAATTATAATAAAATAGTTCCGTGGTATAGACAACAGCTGCACATCTTAAAACAGAAATTAAGAAGTTTAGAAAGACAGTAGCACTCTACCAATTCAGAAGAATCTCATCTAGCCTGGAAAGATCGTTTCCTCGCCTATAAAACAGCGATCCGCAAGACGAGAACTCCTTCCTATTCATCCCTAATTGAGGAAAACAAGAACAACCCCTGGTTTCTTTTCAGCACTGAAGCCAGGCTGACAAAGAGTCACAGCTCTGTGGAGCCTTGTGTTCCTTTAGCTCTCAGCAGTGAAGACTTATGACCTTCTTCACTGATAAAGTTTTCAATATTAGACAAAAAATTATTGGCATGTCTGTAGGTGCAGCAGCTCTGGATGCATCCATAGGACCAGATTTATACTGTGACTGCTTCTCTGCTGTAAATCTCTCAGAGCTCATGTCGATAATAAATTCTTCTAAACCAGCAACATGTCTGTTAGACCCAATCCCAGCTAGACTGGTCAAGGAAATCTTTCCTCTAATAAATACTGCAGTATTAAATATCATGAACTTCTCTATATGAACAGGCTACGTACCGCAGGCTTTTAAAGTAGCTATCATAAAACCACTGCTCAAAAAGCCTACTCTAGATCCAGGCGTTTTAGCAAACTATAGGCCCATATCCAACCTCCCTTTTATTTCTAAAATTCTTGAAAAAGTTGTTTCTGCCAATTGTGTGATTATCTGGATAGAAATGGTTTGTCTGAAGAGTTTCAGTCAGGTTTTAGAATCCATCATAGTACAGAGACAGCACTGGTGAAGGTCACTAACGATCTTCTTATAGCTTCAGACAGTGGACTAGTTTCTATCCTGGTTCTACTGGATCTCCGTGCTGCATCTGATCCAATGGATCACAGCATCTTATAACAGAGACTGGAATGTTTAATTGGGCTTACAGGAACTGCACTAAACCGGTTTAAATCATATTTATCAGACAGATTCCAGTTTGTTCATGTTAATGATGATTCTTCCACCCGCAGCAGAGTTAGTTATGGAGTTCCACAGGGCTCTGTGTTAGGACCTATATTATATACCATGTCCATGCTCCCTTTCAACAGTATTATTAGGAAGCATTGCATAAACTTCCACTGTTATGCAGACGACATTCAGTTATATTTATCTATGAAGCCAAATGAAAACAATCCTCCACTTCAATCCGTTTATTTTAGTTTATTAATACAAAAACACAACCCTAGTCGTACACCCCAAGAAGAACTACATATTTCATGGCGTGTCCAATCACACTGTATTGTAACGCTACTGGAATTTGTAGTTCTTTCTTCAAAATAGCTGTTTCTCCTAAATGGAGGGTGAAATATAAAACTTTTGGTGCATTAAGGGGTTTAAATTAATGAGGAACATGTTTATTTGGACTGACTTTGCAGCATGCAGCGTGGGTTCTCTCCGGGTTCTCCAGTAGTCCAGAAACATGTTGAGGTTAATTGGTGATTCTAAATTGTCCGTAGGTGTGAGTGTGAGTGTGCTTGGTTGTCTGTCTCTAAGTGTAGCCCTGTGATAGACTGGTTACCTGACCAGGGTGCCCCCTGCCTTCACCCTGAGTCAGCTGGGATCGACTCCGCCCCCCATGACCCTAGTGACAATTAAGGTGTAGAGATGATGGATGGATGGATTTTCATTTTAATATAGTCCTGAACCACCCATACAAGTATGTGAAAACCAAAATACAAATTAGATTACTGCATTTTCATTTTTACTAAAATAACACACGTGAAAGTGCCTCTGGAAGGGGTTAGGGTTTGTGGAATTACATTTTCATGTCTTTCTTTTTAGTCTTTGTAGTTACACAGCTTCAGATCACGTTGCTGCTGCATGGCCTCATTAATTCTTACTCATCACTCATTGACCACCAGACTGCTGGTAAAAAGTGACATTTCATAACTGCCTGTTCTGGTAGCCAGTCCTAGCAATTATTATTGCATTGTGTGTAAATCAAACCAGACACCAATTTAAAAATAAAATCACCATTTATTCACAGCATATTCTCACAGTTTGCTTAGTCGTGTATAGACCTCTAAAGTAGAAAGAAGCAACAGTTCAACAGTGATGTAATGCACTGCCATAAATACTACTTTAGAAACTAAAGGGTTCATAGATTTGCCGGAGACACGTGACATCAAACAAAGCAACAGTTGTTCAAAAATAATTTTAAAATACAATCAGTATATAGTCATTCTTTGGCAGCTGTGTGGTGTCTTGTGCAAATAAACTGAATTCAAGTTGTATTGAACTGACAGTTAAATTTTTTTTCTGAGCTGAACTTGTGTCCGTTGGTTTCATGGAGATGCAGTTTCCAATCACAAATAACTGATGTCACTGAAGACTGAGGCTGATCATGGAATTCCCATTTCAGTATGTTGTCCATCTGCTGTCCTGCTATCCACCCCCCCATCCCCACTCTCACCCCACCGTAGAGGCAGATGGCCTCCTTCCCTGAGCCTGGTTCTGCCAGAGGTTGTTTTTTGTTTCTTCCCACCGTCACCGACTGCTTGCTCACAGGGAATTCAAAGGCACCATACTATGCTCTGTGAAGTGCTATGAGATGCCATGTTCTGAATTGGCACAATACAAAATAAAATTGAATTATACTGAATCATATTTCCTCCATGTTTTATTCCTGCATTGCTCCCTCACATCCCAGCTGGGGCAAGAGAAAGGCGCCAGTGAATGAAGCAAGGAAGTGAGCATCAGCCAAATGAAAGCAGCCATGGATGCTGGTTGCAAAACAGTTCCCCTTCCTACAACGGGCTTCAAAGAGCGTTACACACCTCACAGTCTGTCTTGTCTGACCCATAGACTGTATAAAAGATGGACGTAGCAACCGGCCCTGAAAAATGAGGCCAACTTAGAAGTGTCAAAAACCTGCAATATCACTACGTCCGCTAGTTGCTGCCTCCAAAAAGCCCTGGCTCCCATAGACTGGAATTGGAAAAGAAGTGATCACAGATCATGAAATCCCGCATTCCTACAGCTCAGGATTTTTTCTTATTAATTTTCATAGTCAAATCCAGAGATCAGGTGGCCAATCTGAAAATAAATCAATACTGAATTTTTTAAAAAATCGTCAACATTTTTGTGGGGCAAGGGGCGTGGCTGGCTTGATTGACAGTCGGCAGCGACGATGCAGACAAAGCGAGCAGAAGGCGGTAAATGTGGGCAAGCAGAGAGGGCCTGCCTCTCAATCCGTCTGACCAATCACTGCTCCTATGGCTCTACCCCCATCCGATGATTTTTGCGTCACTGGCTCCAAAAATCCAAGATGTCAGCCAGAAAGTAGCAAAACCCTGGCTTCATTTTCTCAGTGCAGAAACCAACGGGTGACGTCACGGTAGCTACATCCATCTTTTATACAGTCTATGGTCTGACCTGAGAAGGAGAAGGAGCCCAGCAACATCTATGTTTGACTTTTTTTCTTCTATTCATTGTTTTCAATGTTCAAGCTTATAATAAGCAAATAAAGTCAGTGGGTCAGATCTATCTGCAGTGTAGGTGGTGGGAACATCTCCAAATCTGTCCAGGTTCATCTCAGTGATTCTTTATTGAGTGGTTCTTCAATAAAGGGCTGTCTTAAGGTTAGTTCAGATGATGATTTATCACTCTCTTAGACAGACTAACAAAGATGGCCCAGCTGTGTCTTTGTTCTGTTTGGTTGCTTAAAACTCTAACTATGGGCTCACCTGGTAGAGCGGGCGGCCCATGAACAGGGGCTGTAGTTCCCCGATGCAGTGGTCGTGAGTTCGAATCCAGCTCACGACCCTTTGCTGCAGGTCTGTCCCCATTCTTCTCCCCCCTTTCCTGTCTCCCTCTACTGCACTAAATAAAGGCAAAGGCCAAAAAAATATATATTAAAAAAAAAAAAAAAAAAAACTCTAACTATAAACTATTCATAGTTTACTGTGCAGCTATGTTTAGTGTGCACCTAATTTGTAAAGTGACCGAGTATGATCACTTTCCTATAGTCTGCCCCATTATATATGTTAAAAAAAAATTGCAGAAAAAAGAAGAATTCAGGTTAGTTCAGCTTGACTTGTTTACTTGATTTCCTGTCAAGGTGCCCAGTCTGATGGTAGCAATGTCAGCCCTGATACTGCTGTGTATTTCTATATGTGTCCATTGGTGCAACATTTTATGCAAACATTACTAACATTACAGTCTGTAATTGGGCACAACCAAATTAGATTAGAGCACTTCTTAAACATGGTCCCTCTGTGTAAGTTGTAGAAGGACACCATTGTGTTCTGTGCTGTCGAGAGGTTGCTGCCTGAAAATTCATGTCCTGGGGAGGAAATGTGTCATGGTCATGGTGGGCGTGACCCGGTTGCCTCTTTTGGTTTTTCCGATCTTGCTGAGGCCGATGTACATGCCAGGGTAGGCAGCTGATTCATACGCATTGTAGTTGTTGGCCAGAATGTTTTCCTTGAACTTGCATTCATCGTGGTAGTGGCCCTGAGGAAAGACGGCAGAAAACATATATTCAGTCAGTAATGATTGTTGTAGCTTCTCCAAAATAAGAATACATTATTTTTCTATTTTTATGATAGGATAAAAGGATCAGTATAATAAAATCAGTGTTTCATTCAACAAATAAATCAAGAGCTAAAGATCAGTGAGTATGTCACTACTATTATCTGATTGGCAGAATAAGTGCTGTTTATTATGCTGCCAAACATTTCATAAAAGCAGAATACAGTGTTCACATATATGTTCAAATATAAATAAATACTGATACAGTGGCTCACAGCATCTTATTACAGAGACTGGAATGTTTAACTGGGTTTAAAGGAACTGCACTAAACTGGTTTAAATCATATTTATCAGACAGATTCCAGTTTGTTCATATTAATGATGATTCTTCCACCCGCAGCAGAGTTAGTTATGGAGTTCCACGGGGCTCTGTGTTAGGACCTATATTATATACCACGTACATGCTCCCTTTTGGCAATATTATTAGGAAGCATTGCATAAACTTCCACTGTTATGCAGATGACACCCAGCTATATTTATCTATGAAGCCAAATGAAATCAATCAGTTACTTAAACTCCAGGCATGTCTGAAGGACATAAAGGCCTGGATGACCTGTAATTTCCTTCACTTAAATTCAGACAAACTAAGGTTATTGTATTTGGCTCTAAGCACCTCAGAAGCACACTATGGAACCAGATAGCTACTCTAGATGGCATCGCCTTGGCCTCCAGTTGTACTGTAAAGAACATTGGAGTTATTTTTGACCAGGACATGTCATTCAATAGCCATATAAAACAAGTCTGTAGGACGGCCTTCTTTCATCTATGTAATATTGTAAAAATCAGGAACAACCTGTCTCAGAGTGATGCTGAGAAACTAGCCCATCATTTATAACTTCTATACTGGACTATTGCAATTCCTTATTATCAGGATGCCCCAATAACTCTCTCAGAAACCTCCAGCTGATCCAAAATGCTGCAGCCAGGGTTCTGACAGGAACAGTAACAGAGATCATATTCCTCCTATATCAGCTTCTTGTCATTTGCTCCATGTAAAATCCAGGATAGAATTTAAAATCATGCTTCTAACATATAAAACTCCCACTGACCAGCTCCATCTGACCTTAAAGACCTTATTGTAAGACGGTATCATCCTAACAGAGCCCTTCGCTCTCACACTGCAGGTCTACTGGTGGTTCCAGAGTCTCCAGAAGCAGAATGGGAGGCAGAGCCTTCAGTTATCAGCCCCATAGATATATATAATAAAGGCTAGATGTCTTAAGGCGGCATTTCGAACGGGATCACCCTTCAGCCATCTTGATATGGGGCAGCTCTCTGACGGAACCCGGGTATGTGAAGGAAGGTGAGCGATCTGCACAAACATAAATATTCTTATCTGGTTGAGTGGTTTGGTCTTACAAATGTTATTAATGTGGCTACAATTCAAATTACAAAAATATAAATAAATACAAAAAAATGTAAATACTAATTGTTGCTGGCCGTGAGTGTGTAACATAATTATCCATAAGTACAGTGTTACAGCTACACCTCTGACCTTTATAACAAACCAATCCGTTTGAAAATCGGTAGAAAATTGAGCAAATTATGGTTATTTAAAAAGTACATGCAACAAAACAACACAATGTTATGGGTGAGCGAGGGTACGGTATCAAGATGGCCACCAGTGTGGCCGTGCGATTTCATTGGCCGACAGAGCGGACGAGACATCTAGCCTTTATTTATATATATATATATTGTGTATATATATATATATATATATATGATCAGCTCCTCTGTTGTGGAATCAGCTCCCAGTTTGGGTTCTGGAGGCAAACACCCTCTCTACTTTAAGGTTAGGATTAAAACGTTCCTCTGTGATAGAGCTGATAGTTAGAGCTGCTCAGGATCACCTGAACTCTTTGTTATGCTGCTATAGCACTAGACTGCCAGGGGGTTCTAATGATGTACTGAGCTTGCACATGGGACATGTTCTGATGGCCACAAAGCTCAATTTTAATCACGTTAGATGAAAGAATATACTTTCAGTTGACTACAAAGTCTCCCACATGCCTTCCAGCATGCTCTTTTTTCAAAGGTGGCTTTCTCCCAAAAAGCTTTGACTGGTGAAGAGCCTGGAGTCACAGTTGTATGCACATTCTCTCCCATCTCAGCTGCTGAAACCTGTCACCCTATTTCAGAGGAGTTATAGATTTTTTCATGACTTCCTTCACTATTCTCCTGCTACTTCAAACTGTACTCCAAGGGATATTCAGAAATATGGACATTTTCTTATATCCATTCCTTGATTTATGCTTTTCAATAATGTTCTCACCAATTTGTTTTTTCTGAATGGCTTGAAAAAACAACCTAGTCAAAGTCCGGACTTGAATCCAACTGAAATGCTGTGGCATGACCTTAAAAAGGCCGTTCATGTTCAAACCCTCCAGTGTTGCTGAATTAAAACAACTCTGCAAAGAAGAGTGGGCCCAAATCTCTGCAGCTTTTTCAAGGATATTTTGTCCAGGAGAAGGTTTAAAGCTCAGAGTGGTGCTACCTGCTCATCATCATCTCTCCCTCATTCCTCCACGTTCTGGCAGACGTTGACTCTGTTGATCATTCCTACGACTTCATAGGCTGTACTTTTGTAATAGACTTTGTATTGTATTTGTTTTTGATTGTTCACCACAGAAAATACTCTGTGTCATTTGACATTTAGGTGATGTTGCAAAGGGGTGTTCTCACTTCTGTTGTATATCTATATCTAACTATATCCTGCAGTTCTACACTGCATTCTGTGCCAGGTTGTCCTGTCAGCCAAATAGTGCAGCATTATGGCTAACTTAGTACCAGTTTGCGCCTTGTGTTAGCTGAATTAAGTTTAATCCTCTGCCTCTTGTGAGAGCAAGAATCCAGTCACATTCTATTGCCTGAGCCACTCCCTCTACTGCTTCTTCCAGTAAAGACCCTATGCAACTAGGCTAGGCCCATCTTTCTCCCACTGAGAAGCTCCGTGCACTGAGAGAGTGTGAGTACAGTTCAGCTAGTTCAGTCACTTTCTGGTTGCTTATCATGTTCGGCAAACAGACTGGTTCACCAATACGTCCACCCTTATGGTGACCCTGACTTCTCAACTTCACTTCATTCTCTGCAACACTTGGATAAAATGCTATTGCTCCATATTGATGGGCAATCAATATGGATAATAGTATTTTAACAGAGAAGAGGAAACTTTTGCCTCATCCTCCCTCAAGCACCCTAACTCTGCTTCCATCCCTGGGCAGCATCAGGATTCAAATCGAAGACTTAGCCTCCTCACCACCCTCTTGGCTGTGCCACAGACTATCCTCCTAACGCTCCACTGCTCTCAAGCAGACTCTAAAACTTGTATCTTATGAAAAAGAGGTTATGGAGAAATATATAACTGATTCTTTGGTTGCAGGTATGACCCAGTCCTCTGCCCCTTGGTTAGTGCAAGTCTTTCTTTGTCGTTTTTAATTGTAAGAAGGACCGCGCACCACATCCTGATACTGAGTACCAAGGTCTGCATAATGTAATCATTCAGCAGCTGCCATGTGCTACAGAGACTCACCGTGAACTGGCTCTTTGTCAAAGCCATGAAATGCAAATTCCCTTCCAGCTCAGTAAACTTCATTGGTTACATTATTGAAGGGAGACAGGTGAAAACAGACCCGAAGAACATTCAAGCAGTGGCTGAGTTTCATCTCAAAGTGCTTAACATAGAAAGGTGAAGACCTTACACATTTGAACAGAGAACCCAACAATCCAAAGCTGGTGGGAAGAAACTTCCTTTGCCTAGAAGTGTGCTACAGTCATATGTTATTCTACACATAGCTTTTGCATTGCAGTCACAACAGTGTCTGGACACCAGACAGTATCCCTAGTCAGCAGTTCTTGGGCTGTAGCCTTTCCTCTCTGAGGTGTCGAATGGTTTGCTACAATCTTCTTGAGGCCAATTGATTGTCCTTTTTCATAACCTCTCCAAATTCCTCCTAGTTTATGCTTCCGTATCTGAAGCCCTTTTGGCCACCCGATACCTGTCTGCTGCTTAAGGATGACCTGATGGCCTTCTTCACCATCAGCATCCACCAGCAGGGTTTCAGGTTGCTGCCAGGACAGGCACCAATGACCCTCTGACAACAGCTCCTAACAGCCACTTCTGCAATGCAGCCTGTGAGAAGACCCCACTCGGATTCCATGTCTTGTCAAGTCAAGCCAATTTTATTTGTATAGCGCAGTTTACAACATACACTATATTGCCAAAAGTATTCACTCACCCATCCAAATAATCGAAATCATGTGTTCTAATCCCTTTCCTGGCCACAGGTGTATAAAATCAAGCACCAAGGCATGCAGACTGTTTCTACACACATTTGTGAAAGAATGGGTCGCTCTCAGGAGCTCAGTGAATTCCAGCGTGGTACTGTGATAGGATGCCACGTGTGCAACAAGTCAAATCATGAAATTTAGTCGCTCCTAAATATTCCACAGTCATCTGTCAGTGGTATCATAACAAAGTGGAAGTGATTGGGAATGACAGTAACTCACCCACAAGTGGTAGGCCATGTAAACTGACAGAGCCGGGTCAGTGGATGCTGAGGCACATAGGGAGCAGAGGTCGCCAACTTTCTCCAGAGTCAATCACTACAGACCTCCAAACTTCAAGTGGCCTTCTGATTAGCTCAAGAACAGCTTCATGGAATGGGTTTCCATGCTAGAGCAGCTGCATCCAAGCCATCAATCGCCAAGTGCAATGTAAAGCGTTGCATGCAGTACCACTGGACTCTAGAGCGGTGGAGACATGTTCTCTGGAGTGATGAATCATGCTTCTCCATCTGGCAATGTTATGGATGAGTGTGGGTTTGGCGGCTGCCAGGAGAACGGTACTTGTCTGACTGCATTGTGCCAAGTGTAAATTTTGGTGGAGGGGGGAATTATGGTGTGGGGTTGTTTTTCAGGAGCTGGGCTTGGCCCCTTCGTCCCAGTGAAAGTAACTCTGAATGCTTCAGCACACCAAGAGATTTTGAACAATTTCATGCTCCCAACTCAGTGGGAACAGTTTGGAGATGGCCCCTTCCTCTTCCAGGATGACTGTGCGCTAGTGCACAAACAAGGTCCATAAAGATATGGATGAGAGAATTTGGTGTGGAACAACTTGACTGGCCTGCATAGAGTCCTGACCTCAACCCGATAGAACACCTTTGGGATGAATTAGAGCAGAGACTGAAAGCCAGGCCTTCCCATCTAACATCAGTGTGTGACCTCACAAATGCGCTTCTGGAAGAAAGGTCAAAAATTCCTATAAACACACTCATAAACCTTGTGGACAGCCTTTCCAGAAGAGTTGAAGCTGTTATAGCTGCAAAGGGTGGACCGACGTCATATTAAACCCTATGGATTAAGAATGGGATGTCACTTCAGTTCATATGCGAATCAAGGCAGGTGAGCGAATACTTTTGGCGATATAGTGTATGTCATCACACACAGCACTTAACATGGTGAGGTGTAGATCTCATGAATTTAAACAGAGAACCCAAAAATCCAAAGTAGCCTTTAGACTTCCTCTGAGCAAGCAGTTGGCAACGGTGGGAGGGAATCAAAACCCCCCAAGGGAGTACAAAAACCTCAGACAGAACCAGGCTCAGGGAAGGAGGCCATCTGAGACCATGTCCATAACCTCCCCCGGGATGCTGAACGAACTCTTCTAGAGGTAGGAGATGGAAACCCCACAGACAGGGGCCTCTGTCACACAATCTCAGTTCACGATCACCGCACATTTGGGTTTACAGGGTCTGTCTGACAGCCTTCCCCTCCAGTGGATTCAGCTCACCAAGTGGTGATCAATTGGCAGCTCTGCTCCTCTTTACCCGAGTGTCCAAGACATGCAGCCACAGGTCTGACAACATGACTACCAAGTTAACCAACAACCTTTGGCCTAAGGTGCTCTAGCACTAAAGACACTTTTGAGCCACCTTGTAGTCAATCAGGGTGTCCATTATGGCTGTTATGACCCAGCTGTCTAGGGTCAGCCAAGTGTGACTAGAAACAAGTGCTATTTGACTGAAAAGTAGTTTATTGCTTAGTGACAGAAGTAACAGAAAAACGGTGATGATACTGGTATGGAAACCGTGGTGGTGAGTGTTGCCAACTGAAAGAACTCAATGAAACCAAACGAAGGCTAACAGAGTTATGAAACTAGCTGAACAAAAACAAAACAAAACTCCTTAAAAACAATAGTAACATCTACAACTAACAAAAGAAACCAAACAAATGCAGAGTGCAGAGAAAAAACTAAACAAACAAGTGCCTCAAAACACACATTATACAAAACACCTGACACAGGTAACTCCTGACCGAGTTATGCAGCTGCTAACAGAAGTTGCAGATTTATACAAAACTCAGACACAAGAAGCACCAAGGCAAACTGTTGACATTAAATCTCAACCACTCTGGCTGTGAGGTTGAATGTGGATTTATGCTCCAGGTGTGGTGATTGCTGCAGTTTGATTGGATGAAGGGGGAGAGACCTGGGTGGTGGTCCAATCAGGTACGGCAGATGAGGAGAACGAGAACTGGAGTGCAGGCCTGCAGCTCCAGGCTAATTAGTTGTAATGACTGACAGCCGGGGGTGGAGCAAGCTCTCCAGCCAGCTACAACAGAGTTCATACAAGTTTTATCCCTACACACAGGCCAGCCACAAGGCATCCACCACAACACGAGAAGGTACCTAAACACCAGGGGCCATGACAATGATTGTTCTGTGACTAGCACAGAAGACCAACCACAGAACACTACTCAAGTTCAGGTCAGGCCAGCTGCTCCTCCCAGTCGCCCCTTGCAGGTGTATACATGCTTCTAAGTCTCTGAACATAATCCCTGATCCATGCTCGTTGTCATCTTTAGCATGCCTCACAGTTGGGATTCTGCACAGAATGTGATTGTTGAAGCTGACACTTCAGGTAGAGACAGATATTTCTCTATCTGTGAGAAGAGCTTATTTCTTAAAGGCATATACCTGCCTCACTGTTTATTGACTTTTGTGATTTTTATTTGTGGCAGCCTTATTTGTAAATGTCCGTGGTGCAAACTGTCAAACTGTGTCTTGGTTGATTGTACACCCAGATTTGTGTCTGTGAACCTGAATTGTACACAAGTCTTGAAATACATAAACCAAAGCTGTGGACATATAGGTGAACTGTTAGATATGTGACTGCATAATTATTGGGGGTTTAGTTAATGGCTGAATTAGAAAACAATCATTTACAGAATTAACACTTCATCTATGGCCCATTGCCAAAAGAAATCTAATTGCAACATAGATGTAAATCAGAATTAAGCAACAATAGATTTATCTCATGGTATCATGGTAAAAACAAGTCTGTTGTATGGCAATTAGATCAGACACAAGTATACATGGGGTATGGCTGTCACTAGATCCTGTCTCCTCAGCTCCTAGGTTCTTGGAGATAACGGAAACCTTTTCAGAAATATCAGGCTACAAGATAAATTGGCTTAAGTCTGAGGTGATGCCAGTCTCTAGAACCTGTCTGCTAACAATCAATAGTACACTTGGATAGACCCTGGTATGCAGTATCTTGGGATTCGTCTTACTCCAGGTATTAATGACATGGTACAGGCTAATTTTTTACCCATTGCTTCAGCCTATAAAGGCTACCCTGGTGAGGTGGAAAATTGTCAGCCTTAGCTTATGGGGAAAGTTACCACCATTAAAATGATAATTGCTCCACAGATGAATTCCATATTCATGATGGTGCCATTAGTTGTCCAAGACTCTTTCTTTAAATAGTACAATCAAATTATCAGGGACTTCCTGTGGAATGACAAGAAGGTCCATATAAAGCTCGAAAAGTTGTACACAACTAGAAGTAAGAGAGGTCTGGCTTTGCCTAATGTGGAGCTGTACAGATCATCTTTTGAGGTGCTTAAGATCTCTAACCCTAAGCCTAACCCTAACCCTGGTATGACGAGAGGTCAACTCTGGGCTGGCTGGCTGTTGAGAGTGAACTGGTGTCTCCATTTGAACCAATTGCAGCTCTGTCTCAAGTCCCTGAGAGGAATAGGCACCCAAACCCAACTTCAAATATTCAAGGGAGACCTGGTTAAAAATACATAAGCAACTGCGTATATCCCAATATAAGCAGATGTACTCGTCCATTTGGAATACCCCCTCATTAAGGTAGGGAAGGAACCCTTTCTATGGCCCACCTGACTGAATAGAAACATCAGTAGGATAAGTGCCCTGTACTTTGACTTGTGGAAGTATCTGCAGCTCAGCTGCTGTGTAACATGTCTGAAGATCTCACCAGTGATGAAACAAAGGAGCTGCTCTGCTATTGAAAGATCCCCCCCCCCCTTCTTTATTCTGTTGCTGTTGTTTGTTTGCTTTGTTTTTGTTACTGGTGTATTTTTGTTGTTGTAGCTAATGTTAGCATTCGCTGGTAAATGTCTGTTGTTGTAGTTGTTTCAATATAAACTTTGATGACAAAAACAGAACCAGTATCACCTGGTTGTGGAGAACATCCATGCAGAAATGTTGTTCATTTTACACATCTTGTCATCAAGGTAGAGTTGGATCAGTTCTTACCGAGCCATAGAGTTTTCCTTTCTCACTCATGGCAATGAAGAGACCACTTCTCACCCCATACAGAGTCACCACTCCTCTCTCCACAGGAGAAATTTCTAGAAGGCCTGGGATGAAACATGAAAAAGATCAGAAGCATCAAAATTGGAACACAAACCGAACTTCACCTTATTGTTTGTGAGACATTTGACTGAGTGGGGTCTTGGTGGTAAGTAGCTCCTGACACATGGAGGTATATATGCAGCTATCATACTTTGTGTAGAAAATCCATCCATAGAAGAGCTAGACTCAACTATTTCTGAGACTGTTTTTTAAATGGAGATAAAATCTTTAGCTGAAGTTCAGGAGCAGGACCACACCTCCACCACTCCACGTCCTGTTGTATGTCTATACACTCTGCTCTTCCTTCGTTTGTTTTCACTTCTTGTGCCACCCTCCCTTTACTTCTGCCTCCTCTTCCTGTCTTGTCTTTTTCCTTTTCTCCATACCGCATCAGCTCATCTTGGTCATCATTACCATAATCACTTGCATCGAATAAACCATCAAGTTTCAAATGGTTGGTGTGGTCCTTGCTCGTGAACTGGATAATAAAAGTAAATCTGCCTGAATGGAGAGCTACTTTTGGAGGTGTTGTAGAAAAAGGGATGAACTGACCAGTAAAGACACCCAAGTTTACACAAGCTGCTAAAACATTCCTTTTCATAACTCAAATCTCATGACACAACCTTGGAACAGGATTCTGCTCTAAACATTTGGAGCAAGGGATGCAGCCCCAAGAATCTGCAAGATAGATCCAAAGGTTTGGCAACACCCTCACAGCAGTTGAGTTCACTGTTGCTCCATGGGCACAAAAAGTCAATAATTGGAAAGAGGGGTCATGCTCGTAAGTTTTCCTGATAAAACAGAAATAAATAGAACAACAACCCAGAGATCCATTAAAAGATGTTGTAAGAGAAGGAAACAGTTTTCTGCGGTATATTGTCAGAGGCAGGTTGGGTTTTCTCAGTATTGTAACACTGATGAATGTGTGGTTACGCACTCGCTTTCTCAGGTTGTGGAGGGGAGTCACTTCATATATGTTTGTTTTGCAGAAAAGACAAACGATATCGTTTGGCCGTCCTTAACAAAATACACATTGAAAAAAGACAAGAAACAAAGAAGTGCTCCGTATTCCGCCAGACATGGACATAACAGCCAGAGAGTGGAGGTGTGTCCATGGGTGGCACAGCATTCATGACAAGTCAGATGAGTCGAACTAACCAGGAAGACAATCTGACTTTGTTCACAAACAGGTTGTATGTAGAATAATTATTTTTTTAAAAATCATTCTCTGCACTTTACGGCTGAGGACTAAGTTACCTATTAAAATGAGCACACTTTGGATCACTGATGTGCATGTCGTACTCCCTTCACTATGACCCCACAGTTTAACAGCTCACCATTACCACATAGTTGTAAGGCATCTTCTTTGGTGTTGAAGTTACTCTCACAAACATTTCCCTGATGACTTCAGGTATGACACAGAAAGCTTTACGTTTTTCTGTATTTTTCTCCCACAGTTCTTATCAGCTATAGCAAAGACAAAGGTGTTTTCACATGGAGTGTTTTTAGATGCCATGAACTTGCAGAGGTTCAGGTTAGGGTTAGCAGGGCCGTGCCTCAACCACTCCTCTGGCAAGCCGACTTAAACATGGCTAACCTATCCAACACTGTCTGTCAGGCCATGCTTCGTACCGTCATTGAAAACAGACAAGCACAACTTTATAAAATAACAAACCTACCATGGATCCTGAATGCCAGATCAGTACATCTAATTTACCTCTAATTATCAATCTAACAACAATTCTTCTCCAGGCATGATATTCCCTCAGGCCAACATCTCATTAAAGCAGCTTCTGATACTTGTGTTACTGCCAGTACAGCAATCCAAAGGTCCCATCCATTGACCCACAGGGTCCTACTCAGATGAACCAAGCTGATGTTTTCTGCATTCTCCTCTACTTTCCATTAGTCTATTTGTATTCCCCTCCATCTCTAACCCCACCACAGTGTTTGTACTCTAGCCACAGAGGAGGATCAGAATTCACTGAGGAAGGTTGTGTGTCTTTTTTCACATAAGCTGCACAATCTGCTCAGCAAACAATCCACATTACCAGTCCACAACCTTTACCTCGCCACATTAGCTGCCATTCTTTGGGGGCACATATGATCTGGAAGAACCCTGTTCAAGACACAAAACCACAGCTGTAGAAACTATACATGGTTCGGCCTGTTGTTTCTTCCAGAATCACATTAATCTTTGGCCAAGACCATCTCCTCCTCCTTCCATTCTCAGCCTTCACTGGTACAGGTGGAGACAGCAGGCAGCACCACATTCTGTTTTTAATTTTATAACATAAAGTAGTGGATGCCAGCACATCTCCTGGCACAGTCTTTTCTCAAAACAAAAGTTGGTTTGGAGTATGATTTGCTCCTCTGGTGCATGAACAGTCCACGTGGTCACAGACGTTTGGGCTACCAGCAGCTGCAGAGGCTCAGATCCTTGTGACCTCAGCCAGATGACAGAACGAATGTCACGTAGACCCTATGGACATGCAAGTGCTACAAACACAAGCTTTGACTGCATCACACATACGGTGGATGGGGAAATAAAATCAATGAAAAACAACATAGATTTTGTTTTAATGTGGAGCCTGTAAAAGTCGTGTTCAGTAGATTGTTGACTGTATGTCTGACAGACAATTGTAAGAAGCAGTGCCATCTGATCGGAGGTCAGGTGTTTTGGAGAGAACGGACAGAAGGCTTTGTTGTAGTGATATTTGATACCACCGTTTTGCTTTCTAATCCGATACTGAGTAAAACGCAAGCTGGTATCGGCAATACCGATCTGATACTGATACCAAACACCTAATGTGTGATAATTCAGATTAACATATATTTACTTTAAACTCAGAAGTATATAGAGGCAGCCCTAACCCTCATTAACTATACAGCTGAGCTGATACAACAACAGAAAACCCAAACTGTGGACATTTCTAATAAATGCCACAATAATTGCACAAGTTTATCAGTACCTACATTTATGAATAATCATTTAACAGGTAAAGCAAATGAGACTGATTGTAAATAATAATAGGGATGTTTTATAGATATCTGGATCCGGAGCTTCACGTCTCTGACCTCCAGCTGCTGGCCTCACGACCCCCAAAATACTTATATTCATATTTATTGTTTTGTTCTATTGCTGCTCTCCATCTGCTATCTTTTTATCCATCTTTTCTAGTATATATTTTCTAAGGTCACGTAGCTGTTTTATCGCTCTCTGTAATGCAATGACACCTAGTCCATGTAATCCACTTTAAATGATCAGTTTTTTAGGACACCGTACCTGAATAAATCCAGGCTTTTTTTCCTGTATGAGATGATCTCAGTGGTACACGTTATTACTCCAAGCTGAACTCATGCAGCTATTTGTTGAAGCATGTATTTATTTCCTAACCATATTTATTAATGAACAACAGCAACAGTGCTTAACACTGCTTAAAGCTCCACATGTCCTCCCTCTCTACCTGGATGGTGCTGCCTGCAGTGGAAGAAAAAGTAGTTCCCACCAACCACCTGTCATTTAGATCTCAGTAGTGTAGTTAGTTTCCGCTGTGCTCCTGGTAATGATATACGTCACCTCAACTGACTGAAGTATCAGAATTATCGATATTTTGATTTGAGAATCGATTTTAGAGTGTAAAGATCTGATATTGAGGTATTGATATCACGGTATCAATCCGCCCATCACTACTTCGTTGCCCTTTATGTATTCTTCATGCCTCAGCATTGATGTAAATCCCCAGTGACAGAGAAAGCAGATATGTTTGGGCATCATCAGCATTCTGCCGGTTCCACACATGAAACATGTAAATATGTTAAGTTGAAGTTATTCAGTGTCACAATAACTTGCCTCAGACTGCAACATAAAAATGAATGAAACGCATCATTAAACAAAGTTTTTTAAAAACTTTTTTAAATGAGAAGCAGCTTGGAATAAGCTTAAACGTAGAGAGTTTGGCGAGTAAGTCATCGCTAACATCAATGCAGTGATCATTTTAAATTCATCAAGCTACACAGAAACTGCTCGTCTAAAACAACATTCTCTTTAAAAGCGCTCAGAACTGGATCTGGAGTTTGTTCACTAGGAGGGTAAACAGTTATGTTTTTGCTTTACATGTATCAGGGAATGGCAGAAGTACTCACTGTATCTGTTTTCACTGTGTACGCCTGTGATCTTCCCATTCGGCAGGACCTGAATGTGGAAACCGATGCCCACGTTACAGTAAAGTCGTCTCAGTCTCTTGATCCCCAGCAGGTATTCTCCATCTCTGGGTGTCGCTTCCCTCTTGTCCCAGGAGCTGCTGCTGGCGTGAATCAGTGATCCAACACTCTGTAAGGGTCGTTTTGTGCTGCCCACAACTGGAGCGAAGGAGCTGCACAGGAGGATCCCATGCAGGAGCAGAGTGAGACTGGACCTTGGTGACGACATCCTTTGCTTGCCAATCCCAGAAATCAGAGAGGTACACAACTATTGTGTATTTCTAAGCCTGAGTGAACTTACTATCGACTAAGATGGTCATAAAATCTTTACTGCTTCAGTTACTCAGAGAAACATCTGCATTCAGAGAAATGTTTAGACATTTCCAAATACAAACCCATGAGGGGTCCACTGTGCCAGTGATTGGTCTCCTGGTTCCTACTTGTGCTTCCTGCTCAGGTAGACGCAGCAGACAGACAGCAGACTTATATGTGGCCATATTACATCACACACCACCTGCTGTTGTGTTTGTCTGTGAGTCACAGATGCCGTAGAAGCACACAAACTGAGAAATACATCAAATACATAGTGACAGAAAACACAGAGGAACACGCAAGCACACAGAAGCACAATAAAAAAACATGTTAGAGATCAGACAGAAAGATGGAGGTAAAGGACCCACTCAGTGATGGTCTTTATATCCCGTTACCGATGTGTAGGGGACAACTGTGGGTCCCTTTGGCAAACCACTTGTTGATGTGAATAGGAAGTAAATAGTAAACAATTATTAAATACCAGACTTTTTCAGTGGGAATGCATTTTTTGTGGAAAATAAAGAAGAAAAGACAGTTATGTGGCATGTGCAAGAAATTGGACTTCCTTCTACTTGCCAGGAATTCACTTCAGTTTTATTTATGGTTGATGGTCTGCATTTATATATCACTTTTCTACCTCGTTGATATTTATATAGCTCAGTTTACAACATATGTCATCTCACAGCCTTAACATAGTCAGATATAGACCTTACAGGTTTAAACAGAGAAACCAAAAATCCAGAGCAGCCTCTGGACTTCCTCTGAGCAAGCAGTTGGCAACAGTGGGAAGGAACCAAAAAAACCCAAAGGGAGGGAGGAGAGGAGAGGAGAGGAGAGGAGAGGAGAGGAGAGGAGAGGAGCTCAGTGCATCATGGGAATCCCCCGGCAGTCTAAAGCTATAGCAGCATAACTAAGGGACAGTTCAGGTGATCCTGAGAAGCCCTAACTATCAGCTCTATCAAAGAGGAAAGCAGAGAGGGTGTCTGCCTCCAGAACCACAACAGAGGAGCTGATAACTGAAGACTCTGCCTCTTGAATCACATTAACTCACCGAGTCTTGATTCTTAAAATATCTTAATATAATAACTTTGTAAGTAGTGAATTGATTAAAGGAGAGGACACTAAGGTATCCATTGCTGTATTTAACAGTTTTACTAAAAAGATTATCTCCAATTATGCATGTTTCTTGACATTTTTGAACAAAGTAAATGGAATTATTTTTTATATGAATCCAAATGCTCCTGAGGATTTTGACAATGCCCTACAGCAATGTAATACACTCTACATCCAGATACCTAATGGGATAGTTCCTCAGGTATTTACTCGTCAATTGCAAGTCATGGCTGAAACCAAAGAGATGAGTAAGCTCACTGTTTGGCATTTATTAAACAAAGGGATGAAACTGAAAACCACTACGGGAAGAGGAAACTGAACTGAGGGGAAAACAGAACAGGGTAAACCAGACCTCATTAGAAAAAGGGGCAAAACTACAAAAACCTAAGAAAAACTCCAAACTAACAACAGAAGGAGAGACTAGGGAAAACTACAGAGGATAAGCTAAACTAGACCAACAAAACAGGGATGCTCACGGTGCTGGGGACCAAACTAAAGGGACAGGCTGGCTGGAAACAGGTCGGGGACCAGCAGCAGAAGGCTGGCTATGGGGAGGAGATGCTGATGCAGGGGGTTCAGGTAGCAGCAGCTTGGAGAAGGTAGGCTGGAGACAGGTCGGGGGTCAGCAGAGACACATCATAGTCTATGATCTGGCAGTGTGTGGACAAATGAGCTGAGTCCTTTTTGGAGCAGAAGGTGATTGTGGACAGGTGAGCCGATCCCTGCAGCTGTCTCCAATACCTGCATCAAGCAGCCTGAGGGCTGGTGGACAGAGAGAGAGGGAGAGGGAGCCAGGCAGGGCTGAAGTATTGATCCTGACACACACAGAAGCTCACCTGAAAGAGAATAATCTGGTCATCGATTCTCTGGTTGGATAAGATGGAAAAGGGACGTGGCTTTCTGTTTGCATAGGAACAGAGAAGTGTGCAGCCCCAAGAACAACAACCCCTAACCCAAGCAATGGGGGGTGAATGTAATGCTTTGAAGGTGTAGTTCAGTAGATCTGTATCACGATGATAGTGAGATTCCTTTAACTCTCAGTTTCCTATGATGGATGACTGAGCCACACGCATCTTTGTCACAAAGAACAATCATTCATTTTGCTTTCCTCATAAACTTTTGCAGGACTTATGGAAATATGACTACATTTGGTGGGTTGATAGATTGATATAGTAATTCTGTTTGGTTAAATGTCCTTTGGCCATGTTCACCTTTATGAGGTGCTTTTGGGACCCACTGGTATTTTCGACTCCACTCTTGTTGGCACAATTAATGCAGTTCAACCAAATGTGTTGGCATCCTAACACAGACTTGTTTCTTTAGCACAGTCCATATCAGTTTTGATGGGGTTAAGGTCAAGACTCTGGGGTCAAACTAAAATTCTAGCCTTACTGTGTTTGGGCTACATGTTCATCGGTGGGGAATGTATCTGTAGCTTTGTGCAGCTTTTAGCTAGCTAAAGGCAAAACATATCCAGTTCAAGTTTTTATTCCTGTTGGGTAAAACTCTGCAGTCATGTGACCTAAAGTATGCCTGTAGAGATGAGTAGGTCAATGAGATGTAGCCATGTCAGAGGTTCAACCGTAGGTATTACACGAGTTTGGTGTGAGACTAGGCTGTTCGTCGTTCAACGTTTGAGCCTCTGAAGTGCTCCGTGACACTTCTGGAGGATCATTTTGTTTTCCTGAACAATGTGGAGGTAATGCTTTTATTATTCAGTTTACTTTGTGTAAATCACTTCCACTCGCAGCAAAACAGCTCCAGACGGTGTTGTTGGGATTAAAGGCCTCACCATCTCTCCTCATATGTAACACATCAGAACCACTTTGTTTAAACTGTAAGCAGGAAGCTTCAGTCAAGCTTTAAGGAGCCGTTTGTAGAGGAAGGCTTCCTGCCTGCACAGCAGCCTCTCAGCCTCAGGACAGCTCAGAGAACCCATGTCAGACACAGGAGCAGTTAACAAAAAGGGATTTATCTGACAACAGCATTTGACCTTAAACAATACAGAAGGAGGAAACTAAACGGAGGGGACACAGAATGGGTAAACCAGACTTCATTCAAAACAGGAACAAAACTACAGAAACCTAAGAAACCATAGAAAAACTCTCAACCAGAGAAGAAACTTAAGGAAAACTACAAGGAATAAATTAAGCGAGACTAATGGGGATACTCACGGGACAGGAAACTAAACCAAAATAAGCAGACTCATTCCAGGATGATGAGCCGGAGCTGGGGAAGGCTGGAAAAACCCCAGAGCCGGACCAGCGACGGCTATAAGCAGGCTGTGGTCAGGACCAGGTGGCAGCAGAAGTCAGGACCAGGTGGCAGCAGAAGTCAGCCAGGAGACAGGCAGAGAAACAGAGCTGCATAGTCTATGATCTAGGATTTTATGTGTCTGGGTGATCGGACACAGATGAGCCGGTCCCACAGCCGTCTCCAGTCCCTGCCATCAGGCGAATAGATGCTCGAGTAGGAAGACAGAAGGGCAGAGTGAGGGTGAGCAAAGCTGAGCAGGAGGAGAGAAAGAAGAGAGAAGGAGAGGGGCCAGGTAGGTCCTGACAGCTATGGCAACATCAAACACACCTGACTGTGGACACCTGAGTTCCAGCAGCTTTAATGCAGATCTGCTCTTTGGGGATTCCTGGTGGACTCCTGACAGTTCTGACCAGTTGTCCCTCAGCAACAGGTGACAGTTTGCATTCTCTTCCTGATCGTGGCTTGACTGTGCCATGTACTTTATACTTAGTCGTTTGCACAGGTTATTTTAGGATCTAAGTGGCTCCAGGTGACTTTCCTGAATTGTTCAAGTCAATGATTTGCTTCTTCAGATCTGTAGTTCCTGAGACATTCCCCCTGTAGTGTTAGTGGCTGACCATGAGCCCTGTTTACACTGCGTCAGAGAAGCAGCTGGAGTCAATGGTAATCACTCACAAGAAGGTAAGAGGCCAAGAAATGTGTTTAACACAACTTTCACCAAAACTGACAATTCAGTTTACTTTATAGAAAGAATTCAATCCAATGTTTCCATCATAGAAAATTTAGAGCCATAGGAGTCATTGGAAACGCCACGCTGCTGTGATATACCTGGACTTTACAAGTGGAGATAAACTTTAGTTAACAGCTGTATGTCGAGAATCAAACAGTGACGTCACCAAGTCCTGTCGTAACTCTGTTGCTTTCAGGGTCCGTAATAATACTGAAAATCAAAGTCAAGTGTCTTTTCCCTCCTGCTGTATCATAGGTTTCTGTGCTCCCTGAACTCATCGGAAGACATCAGCATGTTTATACAGTTAATTAATTCATCAAAAAGATTTCAATACTAGTGATAACACAAAAGATAATAAACCTTATTTTAATTACAATGCAATGGACTAAAACATTCAGAGTAAATCATGTAGTATTCCAGTCCTCACATTCAAATGTAACCTTTAATATTGTGTATGTATGGCTGTAAAGGAGGTTAATAGTAGACTGTGAGTAGTGTGTATATTCATGTCAGATCTGGTTTTTGGTTTGTGAAGTTGTTACTTGTTGGTTTTTCACACCTTGTCTGTAATTTGACAGTATAAAATATTTGTGACATGTGGTGTAATTATCTTCCCAAGCATACATTAAAAAATAAAATAAACCCACTGCTGTTTGGCCTATATGTGTAACCTGCCGTGTTTGGGTGATGGTGAGCCACAGGGCACCACCTGCCAGATGTAATCTGGATTACTCAGCTGCAGCCCTGTTCAGAGAGATGGGGTGGGGGCAGTAGAATGATGAGAAGATGCATGAAGCCAGATTATCAGGGTTTTCTAG